TTTCCATGAATTAGAGCATGATTAATCAGTATCCATGCTAACAACCCCCCCTGCAACGCTAGGGAAAGCATGAATCTTGTAGTCAATAATTCCTGCCAGTGCTCTGGGGACACGGGAATGCTCTAAGAGAGGGCAAAAAAAATCCAGCCCCTGGTGACAGCAAACCCACCCCTTCCCAAAGAAAGTGCTTGGAAGCCTGTGGAAAGGGGCCCTGGCTGTGTCACAGGCAGAGGAGTCAGTGCCACCCTCCTGTCACCCATCCAGGACCATGGGAACCATCTCCCAGTCCAGGGGGGCAGAGCCATTGCTTCCCTTGGGCCTAAAAAAACCTGAGGAATGGGAAGGTTCAGTGACCCACCCATGGCCACACCAGCCAGTGGCAGAGCAGGGAAACGAGCCCCATTTTCCTGGCTGAACTACCCAGGAAAACCTTCCTTTTCCCTCCGTGGCCAGCAAGGAAAAGGGCTCCTGGAATCCTGATTTAACTGGGATCACATTCAGAGCCACGGCCTCGGTCATTACCAGGGCTGTCATGGCCATATGCTGCTCTCTCCAGAGGTCAATTAGAGCCAGGGCAGACAGTGGGGCTGGGAAGGACAGATCCAGGCTGTTCCCACTGTGCCAGGACCAATTTATGGGATTTGAGCATTTGATATGTGGCAGATGCTGCTCTGGCTACAATTAACATGGCAACACCAAGCCCAACGCCGCGGAGCAGGGAGGAGCGAGCTGCAAATCCCAGTTCTGCTGTTTCCCTGGAATACTAACGAGCTGTGCTCTGGCACCACTCCTAAAGGTCCTGGGAGATGGGCTGCTGCTCCAGCCAGGAATCTGGAGCCTCTGGAGCACAGGAGGCTGCCTCAGGCAAGGTCCACACGGCCAACAGATCTCCCCCTTTCCACAAAAATGGGATGTTTATGCCACCCCCTGTCCCTGCCAGCATCCAGAGCCACAGGGAGCCTTTCCAGCTGAACTGGCACCTTGAGGAGCATCATCACAGCCCGGCCAACTCGACTGTTCATTTATCCAACAGATCCCGGAGCCACTCCCCAAACTCCCTGGGATCCCAGTGCCTCCCATAACCAGCACCTCACAAGCGTTTCCATGGTTTCCAGAGCACCACCCAACACTGGGTTCACCCTGCTGGGTGGGAGATGGCTGCTCCCTTCCAGAACCATCCCAGCCCTCCCATCCCGTGCACACAGACCCATCCAGGGCACGGATGGAGCAGCACACACACATCCAACCCAGGGGAGCTGCAGCTCCTCTCCCAGTGCCATGACGACAGCAAGGGAACCATCTCCACGTCTGCTGGGTTTAGTGTGCTACAGAAAACTCAGAAGTCAAGGGTGAGCCTCTGTGGCTCCACTTCCCTCTCTCCCCTCCCCTCCCTGAATTTTTCTAGCCCAAAATGTACTTGTTTGACTAATACCACCCACGTTTGGCCCCACTAACACGGGCCACGGCCCCACCCTGATCCCGATCCAAACACTGGCTGGGGAGCACCAGGACAGCCAAGACCCAGCTCCTCATTCCAACACTCCAAACTGCTGTCCCAGAGACCAGTTGCTGTTCTTGGGGTGCTCCTGATCCTCTCCAGACCCATCCCCTGCCTGTGCTCACACCAGCTGCTCACGAGCCTGTTTAAAGGCAAGGCCGAGCCGTTGCCAGACTCGGATAATGGACCCACGGGAATTTCTCCAGTGGATTGCACAAAATGGTTGTTTGTTTGATTTGTCTGTGAAAAAGTTCATCTCAGAGGCAAGTCATTTTGACAGACTTTTGCTGGCACAGCCCCGGGGTTGTGCTGAGAGCTGTTTTCTCCTCCTCCCACTCCAAGGATCCCAAGGCAGAACTCCCGGGACACAGCCAAGAGACTCACCCACCCCTCCTTGTCCGGCTCTGCTCCAGGAGCCAAACGTCAAACAACCCCCCAGAAGACTCCTAACAAAGTTTAAAGGCATCCCTGAAATCATTTCCACGCGGTCCAAACCCATCTGAGTTCCAATTCCCACATAACCAGGGCACCAGGATCATCTCCCAGACACAGCCCAGGATGAGCAGCTGCTCGTGGTGAGTCAGTGGAGCCACCTCAGCTCAGAGCTCTGTCACAGCAGCCCTTTTTGGGCACTCAAAGACTCACCCAAGCCCAGAGAACCGTGGCAGAGAGGTGGAGGGATTTACTGGGAAATCCTGGATGCCTATCCAAGGGTGAGGAGGTCACAGCTGAACTTTTCTCACCCCCTTCCCAGCCCCTCAGGATACCGTGGCTCCTTCTGGCAGCAATTTCTTCCTAATACACATCCCATATAATCTCATTACCAGCTTAGTGTCGCCTTGGTTCCTCCCTTTGCCCAAATATTTCACAGCCAAGTGCTCCCAAAGTTCCACTGTCCTGATCCAGGGCCTCAAATCCCTGCCAGGCTCTGACTACCCAGACAGCTACAACAAAAAAACCCACCCAAAACACAACCCCCCCCCCTCAAAAAAGGCTAATTTCCACAGAGCAACAACTGTCCCTAAGAGGCCAGGGATGGAACTCCAAAGAATCCCACCAATTTCCATTTCTTCAGGGCTTCTAATGGCACCACAGATCAAAGCCTGATTAAACTCATTATCCTGCTTCCTGGGCAAGGCTTTGAGCACTTGGAACATCCTTTGACTCCGTGCTGAACTACATTTGGAAGCTTTCACTCCAGCCAGGCAAGCCAGGAATGCAAGTCTGATCTTTTTTTGGTGTGTTATTTGTTTCTGAAAAAAAAAAAAATTAAGCCCAAATCCCTTTCACTCTCTAGGAAACATCCACTAATCCACTGGAGAAATAGGTGTGTCTGAGCCCTAAAAGTGGATTAATTCAGGAAGGGATGAGGCTTCTGGATTCTCTGACCACCTAGAACAGCATCCAGCACCCACATCCAGGAATCAATCCTCCTCTCCAGCACGAATTTGTGCCTGACATCACAGAATATTCCAGAGAAAACATAAAGATGGTCTTAGGAATTGCCAAAGGAGGTGGATTAGAGCTGAGCCAGCACAGACATTCCCAAGGGACCCTCTCCCACCTCCCTCCTGAAACCAGCTCCCACAGGAACGGAGGCCAAGAGCACAGGCACGGCCTGAGTCCTGGAAGCTGAAGCCTGGAATCAAAAGGACACAAGGCTGGACAGATGGAGCCAAAAGGCCCTTTTTTGGGGATGGAGATAACACACATAATTACCCAAGTGAGGAGCAGGGGTGTCCCCTCCGGGCTGTGACACGAGGGGGTCCCTCACTGTGACAGCCACAGGGTGGGAAGGCAGGGGCTGGGACAGGGGACAGGGCTGTGGGTGACAAATTATTGTCCTCAGGGTCCCCCCAGTGCCACAGAGGGGGGTGGGACAGGGGAACAGCACCCGAAACAGCATCGCTCCCCCTCCCCAGCCCTGGGAAAAGGGGCCAGGGAAGAGGTGCTGGGAAAGGTGCCAGGGGTGGGTGTGTGGGGGCAAAGGGACGTGTCTGGGAGGGACCCCTGACCCCAAAGTGCCTGGGGACGGGGATGCTCCGGGCAAGGAGCCCCAGGAGAAAGGGCACCACCGGGAACAGACCCCAGGGAGGGGCTGGATCAGGGATGGCATGGAAAGGGGGGGAAAGGCTGCGATTTAGGGGGAGAGAGGGTGTGGGGGGCAAAAGCTGCTGTGGGAGGGAGGGAGGGGTGGGAAAAGGCCCAGGCTGAGGGGGAGAGGGGAAGGGTCTGAGCTGGGGGGGCTTGGGCACCTGCTGAGGGGCAGGGCCGGGTGTGAGGGGGACAAGGGGGATCGGGGAGATGGGGGGGACGAAGGGGATAAGGGGCAAGGCCGGGTGTGAGGGGGCGAGGCCCCGTTCCCGGGGGTCAGTGCCGGGCCGTTCCCGGCTCTGAGGGGGGAATGAGGGGAGTGTCTGTGTGTGGAGGGGGGGGGTGCCCGCGCCGCCCGCTCTCACCGTGTGGTTCGCCCCCCACATGAGGACGCTGAGCAGCGGCTCCGAGGCCCGGAACAGCTTCACCTTCTGGCACACGAAGTGCTTCTTCTTGGTCTTGGTCTTGCTGGCGCTGAGGGCCGAGCCCAGCGCGGCCCCGCCGCCCCCCGCCGTCCCCGCGGCCCCCGCGCAGTTCGCGGCCATGGCGGACCCGACCGACCCCCTCCCCGCGCCCCCCTACCAGCGCCTCCGCATGGTTCCGCCCGGCCCGGCGCACACCCCCCCCGCGCCCCGGCCCGCAGTGGTACCGCCCGGCCGCGGCAGCCCCGGCCCGCTGAGCTCCCCCTGCGCCGTCCCCCCGCCCTCCCCCCCCGCTGCCGCGGTGGTGCGGTCCTTGTGTGTCCTCCCTCCCCCCCCCCGCCCGCCCCCGCGGTTGGTTCGCTCCGCCGCGGCGGCAGAGCCCGCTCCGGCCCCGCGCTGAGGAGGCGCCAAGATGGCGGCGCGCGGAGGGGGCGGGCGGCGGGAGGTGCCATGGCCGCCCCCGCGGGCGGGAGGGGGGACAAAGCCGCGGGTAATGGCGGCGAGGTGGCTGCGGATCGGCCCGCGGGTGGAACGCGGAGAACCGCGGCACGCGTTGGGCTGAGACGCGGGATAACGGAGAGCGACAACGGAGGGAAAGGGACGGAGCTGGGGGGGGGAAAAGCATCCTTCCCTCCTCCTCTTCGCGGAGATGGTCTCGCCCAGCCGGTGTGAGGCGCCCGCCCAGGCCACGCCCCCGCTGCCAGCGGGCCAATCAGCGGCGAGGCGGCTGGAATTATGAATGGGCTGTTTCCCACGTCACGCGCCGCCGTTTAAAGGGCCAGAGCGCGGCCGGGGCCGCCCTGGGACCCCCCGGGACAGACCCCTCGTGGGGCCCACCCGCGACCCCTCCGGCACCGGGACGGTCCTCAGGGATGGATACACCCGAGAAGGGGCTCCCACAGCCTCCTACACCTTCACCAAACCTTCCCCCCACAGCGAATTCACCCCCCCGCCCCTCCCGCCCCACCCGAGAGCCACAAAGAAGCTTTAACAAACGACAGTGGAGTTTCTTAATTAAAAAGACAAAATAAATCTACACCGCTGTACATATACACATTACTTACAGTACAAAATCCCAGAGAAATGTCTGCTGTACCCAGCTACGCTCTGCTCATTTCCCTTCCCCTGGAAGCAGCTTCTTTTGGGTCAAATATCAGTAAAATCTGTGAGTAACCAAATAATGGCCACAGATACTCTGAGACCGGCCTAACATCACACCCTGCACACCTGAAATGGTGACAGGATGGACAGGGCTCGTGTGGTTTTATCAAATTCCACGAAATTAACTCACATGTCAATTGGTTCTGCTCTGACTTTTAAGGATTAATAAAAATAGCTGTTTAGCTCTGGCCTATAAAGAGCTCGGTAGTAGGAAGCAGTGACCACCTGGCAAAATTTGGTAACAATATACAAAAGTGACACCAGCCAAGGTGGGGAGAGGGAAGGAAAAGCTAAAAATGGACCACAGAGGCTCACGAGTTCCCCAGCCAAGGTCCCACCCACTACAAAAGTATTCCCAGTGCCCCCAGTCCTGAGCACGCCCTGGGCTCAGCACAGAGATCCAGCACCTCTGGGAGTTGGGAAGTGTTCCTGGAGAGAGCAGTGAGGCTGTGCTGGAGGGCTCTCACCTCTGGGAACAAGAGTCCATTTAACTGCTGCACAGGAGCAGAGGGAGAACAAGCCTCATCTCTGCATAAAGTTCTTTTCCAAGGCAGCAGGAGTTCTCTGCAGGGAGTGGATGTTCCTCTTCACACGCTCCTCCAGGGTGGAGGTGGAGGCACTCTCCAGCTTCAAACGGCTGCAGGGAATTGGAACAGAGAAAGAAATCAGACTTTTTAAACTGGAAGAGAGGAGGTTTAGATTAGAGATTGGATACTGGGGAAAAATTCCTCCCTCTGAGGGTGGTGAGGGGCTGGAATGGAATTCCCAGAGAAGCTGTGGCTGCCCCTGGATCCCTGGAAGTGTCCAAGGCCAGGTTGGAGCAACCTGGGCTAGTGGAAGGTGTCCCTGCCAGTGGCACTGGATGGGCTTTAAGGTCCCTCCCAACCCAACCCAAACCATCTCGTGGTTCTGTGGTCTGCACTTAAGAACATGTTCTCCTCTGATTAATCTCTAGAGCCTGCAGAATAAAACTGCCACGGGATCTTTCTTGCACCCTCTGGAAGGTGTCACTCCAAATCCTTTTGCCTGCCATGGCTACAAGGGCTAAGTTACCACTAAGTGTGTTTAGGCACTTGCAGGCCTAAGAGTGTTTCAAGCACTTAAAACCAGAAAATTTCTAAATATCTGCATGTGAAACACCACCTGGAGATGGGTGGTTTTTTATTTCTACAGGTTGGCAAAACACAGCTGGTTGCTGTTTCCTGTGTCTGACTGTCAAGGCCATCCCAGAAATAAGCACCTTTTGGGCTAAGAGGAGAATTTGGGAACAGCAGATGTCACCAGTTCTACCGTAAAACACAGTGGAGATGGATCCTACACCATGATCTGCAACATCCCAAAGCTTGAGGCCCTCACTCAGAAGCTGTGGCCTGGATTTCCCCCGAATGAGAAGGAGGGAAAAGACTCACTGGAAGAACTTTCCATCCCTGGCATCGAGTTTCTCCAGCTCCCGCTCCAGCTCCTCCTCCTTCCTGTGTTTCCTGAGGTTGTTTGCTCTCTCCTCTTCCCTCCACTTGGCATTTTCCATCATTTCCTGCCGTTTACGCTCCAGTTCCTCTGGAGAGAGTTTTCTGTTTGGGTAGAAACCACCACTGCTGCCAACCAACAGCACACCGGGCCCCGTTCCCCTCGTTTTCCATTCCTTAAGACCATGGGATTGTTAAGGCTGGAAAAGACCTTTAAGGTCATCAAGTCCAACCACCAAAGATGACTTACAATGCCCCAAATTAGGGGTATTTAGCATGGTTTTCTCTCTGGTGGCCAACCAACAAAGCTTTTAAATATTCAGCTTCATACATCTAAATATTCAGCTTCACCACGGCCCAGCAAGAGCCTCTTTCCTCCCCCTTTTCAGCCTCCCTGTGTTTAACTGACCTGTAAGATGATGCTGCCGAGGTCCTTTTTGCCTGATGGCAGTGAAACAGAACCTCCCAATTAACAGCCCACGGGACAAAGACACCCCACATTCCTCCCTGCCTGGCAGGAGGAACCGGCGACCACCCGGATGGGTTTTTGGGAAGGTGTCCAAGGTGTCACGTAACAGCCAAGCCCAGGAGCACCCGCTGAGCCCTCGAGGACTCTGTGTCTGACTTTCTGGACACCTGATCTGCTCTGCTGCGGTTCAAACCTGGTTCACAGGCTGCACCCAGCTGGTTCTCAGCCTCCCTCACCTGGTGTAACCCGGGGGGTGCTGGCGCCGGTAGCTCTTTTTGGGGGAAGGGCTCCTGGCTCTCCCCTTCTCCTCCCGACTGCTGTGCCTGCAACCCAAAAAACGCCCTTGTTAGCACAGATCATCACATTTCTGAACGTTCCCTGGCTTTATTAGCACATTCTGAAGCCAAGACATCCCCCACAGCTGCAGGGCTGTTACCTGTCCACCCTGCAAACGAATTCTAATGAATCTTGATATACTTTTTTACTCAGTCCTAATTATTTCATCAGCAAACCTGCTACATGATTTTATATGCATTTAAAAAAAGATAATTCTACATCTTTTCTGTTGTATCTATTCTAATTTATAAATTATGAATTCTAATTATCAATTATGAGTCTGAAGAGAACTGGTAGCCCAAATAAAGCAGAGTCACAAGCAGTACCCAAAGGGTGTGATTAGAGAGGGTGTCCCAAATGAAGAGTGGGATTGTCCCCTCCAGCAGCTCCCTGGGTGCTCCTGGGCAGCTCCTGCCCTTCCCACCTTTCCACCCAGCACTGAGCAATAAAGTCAGGACACAAAGGTGGCAGGAGATGGAACAGGAGGGATTCTGATCCCAGGGAATTTCCCCCCCGACCCAGGTCACCCACACTCACTGTTTGCTGTGTTTGGAAGGAGATCCCGAGCCCCTGGAGCCGGATTGCTCCGAGTTCCTCCTGCTGGAATGTCTCTGGGGGGAGCGGGAGGAGCTGCGGGAGCGATCCCGGGGCCTGTGGGGAGCCCTGTCCTGGCCAGGCCCTGGGGAGCTCCGGGACCTGTGGCTCTGCTCTGAGTCTCTCACCTGCAATTCAGAAGGATCTTGGAGGAGAACAGTGGAAGGCCCCAGAGGAGACCTCAGGGAGGGGTGTACGTGTGGTTGGGGTTTATTTATGTCCCTCCCCAGGTTCCTGTTCACCCCTCGCCTAAAAAAAATGTGTCTAAAAATGTTATTTCTGCCTGATGTTCAGAAAACTAAACAAGGCAGCCGAGCTGAGTGTTGGGAGAGACGAGGGAAGAAACTCCTCCCTGTGAGGGTGGGGAGGTGTTGGAATGGATTTCCCAGAGAAGCTGTGGCTGCCCCAGCCCTGGAAGTGTCCAAGGCCAGGTTGGACAGGGCTTGGAGCAACCTGGGATAGTGGAAGGTGCCCCTGCCCTTGGCAGGGGGTTGGAATTAAATGATCTTTAAGGTCCCTTCCAACCCAAACCATTCCACGATTCCATGGGTAAAACTCTGAGAAACTAAACAAACCTTAACTTGAATTCTCAGCAGACAAAAGTCCCACCAGGATTTGAATAGTTTTAATTTCAAGGCTTAGATGGCTGCAAATTGAATCCAAAATTTATTAAATCGTGTTCCCCTCATAATCCTCTTCCACTTGGTGCAGCAGATTTGCAGCAAACTCCCAAAACTCTTTGGTTTTCCCTCACTCAGGGCACTGGGATTGGGACACACACATACCTGCAAACCATATCCTGGGACTTTGTAAGGAGCAGGTTTCCAGGAGGAATTGTCCATCCTCTTCTGAGACCTACAGAGAAAACAGAACAGTCCTTTTGGTGAAGATGAACTGCAAGAATATGGTACTTTTTTTAACATTAAATTATTATTATGGCACCTTAACGATGCAAAACCAATGAAGTAACAACACAGGAACATTTAAGCCAATTAAAGACTCAAAGAGAGGACTTGAAAACCAAATAATTTAACGAGGAAACGAGGTATTCTTGCCACAAAACCTCAAAACTTACTTATTTTTGCTTCTCTCCTCCTCACTGCTGGAGCTGTCGCTGCTGGAGCTGCGCCGTCGGTGCTTCTTGTGCTTCTTCTTCTTCTCCTTCTTCTTCTTCTTCTCCTTTTTATCCAAACTGTTCTGCAGCTGCAGAGCAAAACCCCCTCTCCTTGTCAGTCATTATCACCATCCCCACCCCTGGGGGCTCAGAATCATAAGGGAAAATCAGGAGTTCTCTGTGGAAAAGCTCCTGGAACAAAACCCAGGAGCCACCCAGCAGGGTCCTCTCTCAAAATTAAAGAGTTTGGGTCAGGAAAGAGCTCAGCAAAACTTCTGATTTCTGAGCCTCCCCCTGGGCCAGTGTGTTCTGTGCAAAGGAACCCTGAGAGGCACCTACCAAAGCTTTGATTTTCTTCATTTTCACGGGGTTGTTCAGAACTTCCCTCTTCTTTTCCTCCTCCCTCTTTCTAAAGCAGGAAAAATAAAAATATCAGTGTTTTCAAACACAAAATATCACGTTTTCATGAGAGAGATCAATCAAGTGCAAGCTCTAAGAACACATAAAGGATGAATCTGCCCTTTTCTCCTCCATTTAAGGTGCAAAAAGCAGGACAAACAAAGATTTGTTACCATCAACCTGCCCAAAATGCCAATAAATGCCTGGTGCTTACTTTTAATACATTTGTATTTATATATTTCAATAAATGTGAAAATGTCTTTACACTGTTTATAGGGTAAAGACCTCTTTAAAAACATAAAGATATTTACAAAGTCAAAGACACAAAATTAAAGAAAGACACAAAGTTTTAAAGGCATTTATAAAGTTAAAGGCATTTATAAAGTTAAAGGCATTTATAAAGTTAAAGGCATTTATAAAGTTAAAGGCATTTATAAAGTTAAAGGCATTTATAAAGTTAAAGGCATTTATAAAGTTAAAGGCATTTATAAAGTTAAAGGCATTTATAAAGTTAAAGGCATTTATAAAGTTAAAGGCATTTATAAAGTTAAAGGCATTTATAAAGTTAAAGGCATTTATAAAGTTAAAGGCATTTATAAAGACATTTACAAACCGAATCAATTTAAAGATGTATAAAAATGTCTTTCCAGTGTTTAGAAGATAAATATATTTATAAAATTGTAAAGGCATTTATAAAAAATCTACGGACATTTATAAACTTGAAAGACATTTATAAAATCCCTAAATTTAAAGACACGCATGAAAATGTCTTTTAAGATAAATATTAAGATAAATATGTTTTTAAGATAAATATGTTTTTAAGATAAATATGTTTTTAAGATAAATATGTTTTTAAGATAAATATGTCTTTTAAGATAAATGTTTATAAGGTAAATACCTTCATAAAAATGTAAAGGCACTTATAAAAATTGACAGACACGTCCAAAATTTTTGAATTTAAAGGCATTCCCGACGTGTATAAATTCAAACACCCATATAAACGTGTCCCTGCAGTGTTTCTAAGCCCCACAGCCCAGCTCCCAGCCAGGACCCCCCTCCCTGGAGCTCCCTCCCAGCACCTGATCATGAACAGAGGGTCCTCCCGGATTTTGTTGGCCATGTCCAGCACGGAGTTGGCCCCAGACTTGGCAAAGATGGATCCTGGCAGCAGCCCAGTCTCACTGGAACACCCTGCCTCCTTGTCCTCGGCCTTCTCGAAGATGAACTTGTCCACAGGGCGCCCCATGAGATATTCCTCCCTGTTCACCATCCCCCCGGGGCCCTGGTACATCCACTCCAGCTTCTCTTCCCTTTTCCTGTTGGGGAAAAAAAAACAAAAACCCACCAATTTATTTTCCTCCTTGCAGTTCTGAAGGTAGAGTTTAAAGCTTAAAACGTAAGGTTTAAGGTGAATAGAAATGCTTTATTATTATTATTATTATTGTTATTTCCTCAGCACAGAATGGACATGGAGCTGCTGGAATGAGTCCAGAGGAGGCACCAAGATGATCAGAGGGAGGGAGCAGCTCCTATGAGGAAAGGCTGGGAGAAATGGGATTGTTCAGCCTGGAGAGGAGAAGGTTTAGGGATGACTTAACTGTGGCCTTTCAGTGCCTGGAGGAGCTTCAGGAAAGATGGAGAGGGATTATTTACAAGGACTTGGAGTGGCAGGACAAGGGGGAAGGGATTCAAAGCGAAGCAAAGTTAGGTTTGGATGGGATATCGGGAAGGAATTCCTCCCTGAGAGGGTGGGGAGGTGGTGGAGTGGACTCCCCAGAGCAGCTGTGGCCGCCCCATCCCATCCCTGGGAGCGCCCAAGGCCAGGCTGGACAGGGCTTGGAGCAACCTGGGCTAGGGGAAGGTGTCCCTGCCCGTGGGGTGGGACTGGATGTGCTCCCAGGTCCCTCCCAGCCCCTCCCACTCCCCAATTCCCTGCTCCCCTGCTCCCCAGCCCCCTGACCGCAGCGTGCCCATGTCCTCGGCGTAGCGCTGCATCTCCTCGCGCGCCCGCTCCTCCTGCAGCTCCCGCTGCAGCTCCTCGATCTTCCTCCTCTCGGCCTCATGCTTCTGCTCCGCCTTCCACACCTTCTCCACATTGCGCAGGGTCTGGGGGTGCCAGCTCTTCTTCAAGTTCTGGGGACACGCGGGGACGGGGTTGGGATTGGCACCGAGGGCCCACGGGGATGGGCAGGGAGGCTGAGCCCAGAGAGCGCCAGGGCTGCCTTGGAGCCCCTCTCTGTTCCTCCACGACCCCTCTCAACTCCCATCTTAGCCCCCCATCAGACCCTTCTCAGCCCCCCCTCTCCCTCAGACTCCTCTCAGCCCCCCCCGATCCCCCTTACACCCCTCGTCCTCCCCCAGCCCCTCATCCCGCCCCTCAGCCCCTCTGAGCCCCCTCACCCTCCCCCGGCCCCTCTCAACCCCCCCCAACTCCCATCAGCTCCCCCTCCCAACCTCCTCAGCCTCTCCCCGATCTCCTCTCAGCCCCCCTCAACCCACCCCGGCCCCTCTAAGCGCCTTCCCCCTTCCCTCAGCCCCCTCCGTTCTCCCTCAATCCCCTCCGACCGCTCTCACCCCCAACCCGCGACCCCCCTCAGCCCCGCCCGTTCCCCCCGTCCCTCTCAGACCCCCCCCCCCATCCCCCGTAAGCCCCTCCCGTCCCCTCTCAGCCCGCTCTCCCCCCCGGACCCTCACCAGGTCTCCCCCCCCCATCGCGGCCTCCGGGCGAGTGCGTCCCCCGCCGCTACCGGGACCGGAACTACGTTATCACATCGCGCCGGCGTCGCCAACGTCACTTCCGGCAGTCGGCAAGATGGCGGCGCTAGGATGGGCAGTGCGAGAGGAGGAGGGAGGGGAAGAATGGTTTGGGTTGGAAAGACCTTAAAGCCCATCCAGCCCCACTCCCAGGGACACCTTCCACTAGCCCAGGTTGCTCCAGGCCCCGTCCAACCCGGCCTTGGGCACTTCCAGGGGATTAAGGCAAGATCCGTTTAAGTGAGGCTGGTAGGAGCAATCCCAGAGAAACGCCTGGGGATTAAAGTGAGTAATTCCAGCTGCACAGAAGCCACGGGACAGGTCTGGCAGGGAGCTGTAATTGCATTAATGTGCAGACGGGAAGGTTTGTGCCTCCGGGTTCGGCAGGGCTTGGAATCTCCCGAGTCAGAGCCTGTGACCTCCCGAGTTAGAACCTGTGAATTCCCATCCCAGGGTGGGTTAGAACTGGGACCGCCCTGTCCCTTCCCAGGTTAGAACCAGTGGCCCCCAGTCTGGGTTAGAGCTGGGGACCCCTCTCCCCAGTTAGAGTTAGAACCATTGACTCTCCCACTGTGCGTTAGAATCGGGGATGCCCATCCCAGCACAGATTAGAACTGGGGACCCCCACTCCCAGCCCAGTGACCCCCCCAGTCTGGGTTAGAGCTGCAGTCCCCTGTCCCCAATTAGAGTCACAACCAGCCCGGCTTGGAACCAGTAACCTCCCAGTCTGCGTTGAACTGGGGACCCCCAGCCCAGCCCAGGTTAGAACTGGGGACCCCCCCAGCCCCACTTAGAACCAGTGACCCCCCCCATCTGTGTGGAACCGGTGCCTTCCCGGCCCAGCGCGGGCTCGAACCGGTGTCCCCGCTGTCCCCAACCCCCCGCGCTGCCCCTGCGCCACCTTTTCCCGCCTCGCCCCCTCCCGCCCCCCCCCGGCCCCGCCCCGGGGGCGGCTCAGGGGTAGCGCCACCGCCCGCGGGACCCGGGGCCGCGGGTTCGAGCCCCGGGGGCACCCACACACCGACCTGTGTCATCCCAGCCTCGGCTGCCCCCGGGGAACGTCCCGGCACTGCTGGAAACGTGTAATCCACTGGCCAAATCAGGGGTAATTCACTGGTTAAACCGGGGGTAATTTACTGGTTAAATCAGGGGTCATTACTCCGACAGGAAGAACTGGAGCAGCAGCTGTGGGGTTGAGCCTGCTGGTGTGGACGTGGAGAGCAGAGAGGAAATGTCAAAACCTGCTCTCACGCTTGGCAAAACATCATCAAGTGATTCCCAAGGCCTCAGAGGGGTAAGGGGGTCTCTCTGTGGGCTGTGTGTGAGGAGGTTGTGGGAGAAAAAAAAGGGTGAGAAAGGACCAAAAAGGGGGCACCTGGAGTTGAACCAGGGACCTCTTGATCTGCAGTCAAATGCTCTACCACTGAGCTATACCCCCCTGGCACTGCACCTGCACAGGGGGATTTTAAAATCTTTATGGAGACAGACAAGTTTGGATGGCCATGGTTTGCATTCCTTTACTCAGCAGCCCCCTGTGCACCTTAAAGGACCTGCCACAGCCTGGACAGCCAGTTAAACAGAAGAAATGATGCCAAAGATCATCAATTCTGCTAAATGGGAGTACTGCAGAGAATTAACAACAACAGACAAACAAACTCAGCAGTTCCTCAGTGCACAACCCCTGCCCCTTCCCAACAGGGCCTCACTTCCTTCAGTCCCAAGGCTCCCAACCAACATTCAGTGCACAGCACAAACTCCCACATCCAGCAAGAGCTCCCCACCTTCTCCCCGGGAAACATTTTGGCCAAAGGAAGAGAAAAAATGAAGGCAAAAGACAAGGGGGCACCTGGAGTTGAACCAGGGACCTCTTGATCTGCAGTCAAATGCTCTACCACTGAGCTATACCCCCCTGCTCCTGCACCTAAACAAAGGGATTTAAAAACATTTACCAAGAGAAACACATTTCTGTGTCCACTGCTTGGGCTCTTTTACTCAACAGCCCCCTGCACCCTGCCTGTCAAAGGCTGTACAGGGAGTTAAACAGGAGAAATGATGGGAAATAAGGTCAGTTCTGGGAAATATTGTCAGTTTTGGTAAATATAGAGTTAGGAACAGAGAAAGGCACACACAAACAGTGAGTAGTTACTCACACAGGGCACAGCTCCTGGAGCTTCCCAGGAGCCAGGGCCTTGGAACCTTCAAAGGTGGAGCTCAGAACCACATGGAGAGAACAGCACAAGCTGCCAGATTCAGGAAGGGGCTCTCCAGCTTCTTTCTGGGAAAGATTTTGGCAAAATTAAGGCTGAAGGAGAGGAAAAGAGGGGGCACCTGGAGTTGAACCAGGGACCTCTTGATCTGCAGTCAAATGCTCTACCACTGAGCTATACCCCCCTGGCACTGCACCTGCACAGGGATATTTTAAAATGTTTATGGAGACAGACAAGTTTTGATATCTATGGTTTGCATTTCTTTACTTGACAGCCCCCTGTGCACCCTAAAGGACCTGCCACAGCCTGGACAGCCAGTTAAACAGCAGAAATGATGGCAAATATCATCAATTATGAGAAATGTGAGTACTGGAGAGAATTAACAACAGACAAACAAACTCAGCAGTTCCTCAGTGCACAACCCCTGCCCCTTCCCAACAGGGCCTCACTTCCTTCAGTCCCAAGGCTCCCAACCAACATTCAGTGCACAGCACAAACTCCCACATCCAACAAGAGCTCCCCACCTTCTCCCTGGGAAACATTTTGGCCAAAGGAAGAGAAAAAATGAAGGCAAAAGACAAGGGGGCACCTGGAGTTGAACCAGGGACCTCTTGATCTGCAGTCAAATGCTCTACCACTGAGCTATACCCCCCTTGGTGCAGGATGTGCACAGGTAGATATAAAAAACCATTTATTTGGAAAGAAACAAGTTTTTTCTGTCTGTGGGTCGGATTCTTTTTCTTGCAAGCTCCCTTTGTGTGCCTGCCAAAGGGAGTTAAATACCATAAATTGTGATAAATGTGATCACTGCAGAAAATGAAGAGCAGAGAAAGGCCCAGACAGTGAGAAGTTGCTCACACAGGGCACAACCTCTGGAGTTTCCCCATAGTCAGAGCCACGGTACCTTTGAAGGTGAAGCTCAGAACCAACGTTGAGTGCACAGAACAAACTCCCAGATCCACCAAGAGCTCCCCAGCTTCCTCCTGGGAAAGATTTTGGCCAAAGGAAGGCTGAAGGAAGAAGAAAATTAAGAGGGGGGAAAAAAATAAAAAAGAGAGGGGGCACCTGGAGTTGAACCAGGGACCTCTTGATCTGCAGTCAAATGCTCTACCACTGAGCTATACCCCCTGCTTCCAGCCAGCATTCCCAGCAGGAATCTCCCTGCTAATTGCCACCCCAGCAAAACTGCTAATTAATCCCAGGGCAGAAAAGCAGGTTCTCAGAGAAATACTCATCCCTCTCCTTGGGAACACTGGGCAGAGGCTCCTCTGCTCTGCTGGGGGTCACCTGCAGCCAGCAACCAGCACGAGAGCTCGGGGGGGGAGAACGTGGGGATGGAGAGCTCCAAACCAAATCCTGGGGGACGAAAAGAAGGGGGGAAAAAATAAAAGGGGAGGGGGCACCCGGATTTGAACCGGGGACCTCTTGATCTGCAGTCAAATGCTCTGCCCCTGAGCTATACCCCCATGAGGGAGGCAGGGCCAGGGAGGCTCCTTGTGGGCAGTGACACGGCCACAATTCCAGGGCTGCTCCCACACCTCAGCCCTGCCACATCCCAGGGCTAATCCCACACCTCAGCCCTGCCACATCCCAGGGCTAATCCCACACCTCAGCCCTGCCACATCCCAGGGTTGCTCCCACCCCTCATCCCTGCCACGTCCCAGGGCTGCTCCCACACCTCAGCCCTGCCACATCCCAGGGTTGCTCCCACACCTCAGCCCTGCCACGTTCCAGGGCTGCTCCCACCCCTCATCCCTGCCACGTCCCAGGGCTGCTCCCACACCTCAGCCCTGCCACATCCCAGGGCTGCTCCCACCCCTCAGCCCTGCCACATCCCACGGCTGCTCCCACCCCTCAGCCCTGCCACATCCCAGGGTTGCTCCCACACCTCAGCCCTGCCACATCCCAGGGCTGCTCCCACCCCTCAGCCCTGCTCCTCCTTCCACCCCAAACCCCAGCCTGGGGCTCTCACCACCCTCCCAGCCAGCCCTTGAGGGTCAAGCCAATGAATTCCCACTTAATTTCCTCTAAAACACAAGGAAAAATAATGTCATTCCCCATAATACGTGGTGACATTAAGAATGACAGGGCAACCCCCAATATATTGCCCAAGATCTTCCTAATTCAGAGATTTTTTTTTTATATTATCCTTGGAAACTGCATACTTTTTTTATATCAGTTTCCTTTAACTTGTCCTGGTTTAAACCCAGCCAGCAGTCAAGCCCCATGCAGCTGCTCACTCACTCCCCCAACCAGCAGGATCCAGGACAGAATTGGAAGGGTAAAAAGCTGGAAAACTCATGGGTTGAAATAAAGATAGCTTTAGGTAAAGCAGAGAAAGCAAAACAAGGAATTAATTCACTGCTTCCCACGGGCAGGCAGGTGTTCAGCCATAAAAACACCCCCTCCCAAAAAATTTAAACCCAAAATGTTTAAATCCAAGAATCCAAGGCCATGGAAAGAAGAGTCTTCAAAAATCAGAAACGTGGCTGTTAAAGCATCAGGGGGGAAGAGGTTTGTTCCTTAGGCTTGAGCAGGTCCCTGCATCTCCAGGGGGAGTGGCAAGGAACACTTTTTGAGCCATGGGATTTTGCAGGTTCGTGGTTAGGCCAGAGAGATGGTTAAAAACAAAATGAAAAAAAAAAATCAAAAAATCAGTTAAAAATTTCCCAAACCAGTCAGTGCAAGGCCCTGGTGGTTTGTCCCATCATTCCCCTGGGTTTGTGCTTCCAAATCTGTGAGGCTTCGCTCCATTTTCCCCACCCTCCCTGCACTGAAACCCCGGGAATGGCACCAGGAATTGCACAAAAACATCAGGAATCTCCAAGCAGAGGGAAAGAAATGCACTGTGCTGAGGGAAAATGCCCTTAGTGCCAGGGCAGATGGAGGCAGGAATTGCAGCCAGGCCTGGGAGCAGCCCCTGTTTCAGGGTGGATGTTCCAGGGCACAGGGGCCCAAAACCAGGACAGAGTCACTGGTGAGCCCAGGGATGAGACATCTTCCTTGGTCGGGTGGGCAAGGAACACCCAAACCACTCCTCCCTCTGCTCCAGAAACACCAGGAAAACCACAGCCTGTCCGTGGACGTACCTCCCCACTGCTCCTGAAGCCTCTGGAGCTGATCCTGGAAGCTCAGCTCAGACCTTCCACGTGGAATTGGCATCGAGGGTTCAGCAGCTCCTGCTTCAGCTGCTCCCTTGGGTGACAGCAGTGGCCTCCACGTGTCCTGAGGGACATTCCTCAGATCCCACTGTCCACCAGGACCTGCAGCTCATGGGTCAGCTCTTTCGGGCACTATTTCTCCCCCACAGTATCTCTGAGTGGTTAAAATTATCCCTAAGCAGTTAAAATTGCCAATTCTGGAAGAAAATTCCAGAAACTCTACGGTTTTGAGAGCTCCTGCACAAAGGCAGGGCTCCCACAGACCCCTCCCTGTTCCTGTCTGTGCACACCCACTGGATCAATTCACTGCTGCTAAAATTTAAGCCATTCCAGGTGTTTTTCCAGCAGTGCAAGAACCTGCCTGAAAAACAGACTTAAGATATGAAAAGCCCCAAATCCCGTTTTCCTGCTGAAACACACACAAGGAGCTCCATAAAAATCCTTCCCAGCACCACCTCCCTTCTTCCAGCACCTTTGGCAAGAAACAGAGCACGGAGTTGGGTACAAGGCCTTTTATTTGCTGCCTCTGCAGAGGCTCAGGGGGAGGCTCAGGCGATGCTCCCGGCGTTGGAGGCGATCCTGGGCCACAGATCCGCACATTCCTTGGCCACGGGGCCTGTGATTGCTGAGCCTGGAAAACAGGGATAACGGAGCATCAGTTCTGCCCTGGGAGGGGGGAATGGAATTCCCAGAGAAGCCGTGGCTGCCCCATCCCTGAAGTGGTCGAGGTTGGACGGGGCTTGGAGCAACCCGGGCTGGTGGAAGGTGTCCCTGGGGGTGGATGGATGAGCTTTAAGGTCCCTTCCAACCCAAACCATTCTGGAATTCCACAATTAAAGAACACAGATGGTCCAGGGCAGCATTTCCCACTCTCTGAGTGGAACCTGGGTCCTCTCCCTCAGGAAAGCTCAGCCTTGGTGGCAATGCCCCCCTCCCCACATTCCCAGTGGGAATCCAACCCTCACCTTTCATTTCTCCTTTGTTATTTACAATCACTCCTGCATTGTCTTCGAAGTAGAGGAACACCCCGTCTTTCCTCCTGTAGGATTTCCGCTGCCGGATCACCACGGCCGGGTGCACTGGGAAGGGAAAGGAGCAGCTCGGGGTCACAGACCTTGGGATAAACACTCACTGCAGGGGGATGTCCCTCAGGAGCTGCTCTGCTGCAGCATCAAACCCAAGGCACAAACTTGGGGGTGTTTTTTAACTTTACATCTCATATTTGTGGTGTTCCACTAAGAAGAGGTTCGGTTTGTGGTCAACAGTCCCCTTAAAACTGAGCGTGTAACGCTCAGAGCTGTGTCTACACCTGGATGATCCACTGTTTTCCCACTTTCCCACCTTTATTTCTAAATAAGCCATTAATTCACAAACAATATTTGGCAAAAACTCCTCTGGAGCGGGAGCAAACCTGTTCCCTGCCCATGGCAGGGGGTGGGACTGGATGGGCTTTGAGGTTCCTTCCCACCCAAACCATTCCAGGATTCCATGATCCAACTTCACAGATCCATGCAACATTGCTCCTCTTTTATACATGGAGAAATGGACCCAGCAGAGGGTTTTGGGAAGGAATCCCTCCCTGTGAGGGTGGTGAGGGACTGGAATGGAACTCTCAGAGCAGCTGTGGCTGCCCCATCCCTGGAAGTGTCCAAGGCCAGGTTGGAGCAACCTGGGCTAGTGGAAGGTGTCCCTGCCCATGGCAGGGGAAGGGAATGAACTGGATCATCTCCAAGGCCCCTTCCCACCCACCCCATTCTGTGACCCCAAGCCCCGCTGTCCCACCACTGATTGAAATCAGCAGCACGAGCTGCCACTTCACCCAAAAGCGGCGCCTTTGCTCTGCCCTTCCACGACAACTCCCTGAGCCACGGCACAGACCCAACGAGTGCTTTTCAGAAGGGGGGGGAGGAGGAGACACTCCAGGGCCTTTGTCCCCCGCTTTCCATGACAGGAACGGTGGGACTCACCCTTCTTCCTCAGCTCAGGCTTGCCCTTCTTCACCGTGGCCATCACCATGTCTCCCACGCCGGCCGCCGGCAGCCGGTTCAGCCGGCCCTTGATGCCCTTCACGGAGATGATGTACAGGTTCTTGGCCCCTGTGGAGAGCAGCACTCCCATTATTCCAGAAAGGTGTTATCCCAGGATAACACCTTCAGCTTCACTGAAGGGACACCCACTGCTGTCTCCTCCCGCCGAGCCACAGGCACAGCAAGGGCTTTTTGCAGGAAAACCGGGCTTTGGGAAATCACTCAACACCTGGTCACCCTCTGCGTTACCCCGGGGGGCTCCTTCCTCCCCGATTCCAGGGCGACTCCTTCCCGCGGGGCTCCCCCAGTTCCAGGGGTGGTCCCTCGATTCCAGGGGGTCTCCTTCCCACCAGACTCTCCTGATTCCAGGGGTCTCCTTCCTGCAGGGCTCCCCCGTTCCAGAGGGCTCCTTTTCCCGCTGGGTCCCCAGTGGGCCTCCCCCGTCTCCACGAGGCTCATTCCCGAGGGTCTCCACCGGTTCCAGAGGGGCTCCTTCCTTCAGGGTCCCCCCGGTTCCAGGGAGTATGTCCCGGTTCTAGACGGGCTCCTTCCCACTGGCCCCCACCGTTCCAGTGGGGCTCCCCCGGCTGGAGGGGGGTTCTTTCCTGCTGGAACTGGCTCCCCCGATTCCAGGGGGTCTCCCCGGCTCCCAGGGATCCCTTTCCCGCTGCCGCCCCCTCGGTCCCAGCCCCAGCCCGCCGCTCACCCGTGTTGTCGGCGCAGTTGATCACAGCCCCCACCGGGAGACCCAGGGAGATGCGGAACTTGGCCCCGGACGAACCTCCGCGTCCTGCGGGTCGAGAAGAGCGTTAACCCGCGGGCAGGGCCCGATCAGGGCCCCGGGCAGCGGGGGCGGCCACACCGCCCGCGCCATCCGAACCCAGCGCCTCTTGCCCGCGTCCCCTCTCCGCCGCAGCGGCCATGGGGACCCCGGAGCGGGCCGTCGGGACGCGGGAGGGCGCTGGCCGTGCCGGGATGGCGGCGGATGGAGCCGGATGGTGCCGGAGCCGGCCCGGGCCTCACCTCGCTTCGACATCTTGGCGCCGGAAGAGGCGGCGCCGGTCACGTGACGCGCCCGCCCCGCCCCGGGGCTGAGGGAGGGGGGAACAGCGCCCCCTGCAGGCGGCGGGGAACGCCGCGCCCTCACACAACCCCGGCACCGGGAAAACCGGGATAAAACCGGGATAAAACAACCGCGGGGGGCGAGCGCAGCGCCACAGAATCACAGTCAACCAGAGTAGAAAAGACCTCTGAGATGATCCAATCCGCCCTGTCACCCAGGCCGTGGCACTGAGGACTTGGCATTGACTGAACACGAGCCAGGGGTGCCCGGGTGGCCAAGGAGGCCAATGGATCCTGGCCTGGATCGGGAATAGCGTGGCCCAGCGGGAGCAGGGAGGGGATTCTGCCCCTGTGCTGGGCACTGGTGAGGCCACACCTCGAGTGCTGTGCCCAGCTCTGAGCCCTCAGTTCGGGAAGGACATGGAGGGGCTGGAGCACAAATCCTGTGAGGAGCAGCTGAGGGAGCTGCGGGGGCTCAACCTGGAGAAAAGGAGGCTCAGGGGGGACCATCTCGCTCTCTACAACTCCCTGACAGGAGCAGGGAGCCAGGGAAGGATCAGGCTCTGCTCCCAGGGCACCAGCACTAGGACAAGAAGATCTTAAGCTGCGCCAGGAGAGGTTTAGGGTGGACACTGGAAAAGAAGTTCTTCACAGAGAGAGTGACTGGGCACTGGAATGGGACACTGGGCATTGGGATGGGCTGCCCAGGGAGGTGGTGGGGTCATCAGTCCCTGGAGGCGTTTAGGAAGAGCCTGGATGTGTCACTTGGTGCCACGGTCTGGGTGACAAGGTGGGGTCACGGGTTGGACTGGGTGATCTCAGAGGTCTTTTCCAACCTGGCTGATTCCGTGATTCTGTGACCTCAAGGGATTGGTGACCCCACCACCTCCCTGGGCAGCCCATTCCAACGCCCGGTGTCCCATTCCAAAGCCTGATTGCTCTCTCTGTAAAGAAATTCTTCCTAAAATCCAACCTAAACCTCCCCTGGTGCAGCTTAAGCCTGCGTCCTCGTGTCCTATTGCCCGGGAGCAGAGCCTGATGCCCCCATGGCTCCCTGCTCCTGTCAGGGAGTTGTAGAGAGTGAGAAGGTCCCCCCTAAGCCTCCTTTTCTCCAGGCTGAGCCCCCCCCAGCTCCCTCACGGACTTGTGCTCCCGACCCTTCTTTGCACCAGCACCTTAAATTAAAGAGCCCAGAACTGCACGCAGCGCTCGGGGCGCAATCATTCGGGGCGAGAACAGCCTGAAAAAGGGGAAAAAATAATTTGAAAAGGAAAACAAGGGGGCACCCGGATTTGAACCGGGGACCTCTTGATCTGCAGTCAAATGCTCTGCCACTGAGCTATACCCCCGCCTGCACAAAATGGCCGCCGGGCGCTGCTTTCCCCTCACGTTCCACGCCCCGCGCGGTCTCCCCCCGTTCCACGCGCGGGCGCTCCGCCCGCGCGTGGAACGGGGGGAGGCCGCGCGGGGCGTGCGGGCTCGGGATCCTGGAACGGGGGGAGGCCGCGCGGGGCGTGCGGGCTCGGGATCCTCCCGCCGTCCCCCCCAACCCCCGGGAAATCCGCAAAAAAAAAAATCGGGTGGAAAAATTAAAACTCGCGCCTCTCCAGGGGGCACCCGGATTTGAACCGGGGACCTCTTGATCTGCAGTCAAATGCTCTACCACTGAGCTATACCCCCCCCGTGCTCCTCCCGTCCGCTAGGGGGTCCCTCTGCCCAGGGAAGGTGGGAAGTCCCCGGGTTCGAATCCCGCCTCGGCCCAAACATCGTTATTTCGCGTTTTTCAACCCCTTTTTAGCCTTTTTTTTTTTTTTTCCCCGTGAATATTTAAGCTCGGCGGCGCCCGGCGCGTAAGAGGAGGGACGGTCCGCGTAAGAGGACGGGCCTGACGCGCGGGCGCCCCTCCCCCGCTCCCGGTCCCTCCCACTTCCCCCTCCTTTTTTTTTTTCCTCCCTCCACACCCCCCACCCCTTCCCGACTATTTAAAGTCGCGACATCGCGGGCGGCGGCTCAGAAAGAAGAAGAGGAGGAAGAAGGAGCAGCGGAGGAGGGTGGGAGCGAGTTTTTTCCCTCCCCCTCCACGCGAGTTTTCAGCCATGAATCCCAATTGTGCGCGCTGCGGGAAGATCGTGTATCCCACGGAGAAGGTGAACTGCTTGGATAAGGTGAGTTTTGGGAGGGGAGAGGGGGTCGCACGTGGATGGATTCGGGAGGGTTTTTCCTATGGAGTTGCCACTGGGTGGGATGGTTCCCTCCGCCCCAACCCCCATTCCCGGGGGGTGTTTCCACAGGGTCGCGTCGCTGTGGAATCTCGTTGTCCCGGGGGTCCCCGCGCTCCTTCCAGCTCTGGGGGGGTTCCGGGGGGTGGCAATTCCCTGTGCTGCTCCAGGGGACGTGGTTCTCCGCCATCCCACATTCCCGGGGGGAATTCAACGCTGCCCCCTCTGGACTCCCTTTTCCAGGGATATTTCCACGCTGCTCCTTCAGGACCCCCTTTTCCGGGAATATTTCCGCAGTGCCCCTTCAGGACCCCCTTCTCCGGGAATATTTCCACAGTGCCCCCTCAGGCCCCCCTTTTCCAGGGAATATTTCCACGCTGCCCCTTCAGGGCCCCCTTTTCCGGGGGTATTTCCACCGAGTCTTGGAGGTCACATCATTGTGGGACCCCATTGTCCGGGGGGGTCCCCCACGCTCTTTCCAGCCCTGGGGAGCACCAGGGAATGTGGTTCTTCCCCCCCCCCCATCCTTTTCCCGGTGATATCCCCACGGGACCCCCGTTCCCGGCGGCGTTTCCACGCTGCCCACCCGAATCCCTGTGGGATCAATCCCTGTGGGACCCCATTATCCCGTGGGTCCCCCACACTCCTCCCAGCCCTGGGGGGCTGCTGGAGGTGGCACTTCTTGTGCCACGCTGGGTGACGTGGATGGAGCCCTTTTCCCAGGGTTCTCCAGAGGCATCCAGGACTTTCCCTTGTATATCAAATTGATATATTTACTGTAATATCTCTAATTAAAAGGCAGCACGTCCCTGTGCCTGCGGAGGCTGAAGGAAAGCAACAGTTAATGCTTCCCTGGAGCTGGGAACATCATCTGGTTTCCATTATCCAGCTTTTTCCCCTTTTATTTTTTTTTTTCCCCAAATCTTCCATCCCAATTGATACTTCCCTGTTCCAATCCCTGGGCTGCCTCCTTTAACATGGACTATCCCTTTTTCTGGGTATTTTCCCATCAAAAACCAAAGCTCTGGGCTGGAGGTGAGGAAGGTGGTGGTGGGTCTCCATTCCCTGTGCTGTTCCCAGGGGATTTACTTCCCAACTAACCCATCCTGGAGAGCTGAGCTGTTCTCCTCCTCCCCCTCCTCTCCCAGGCTTCTGGGACGACCAGTTTAGGGACTAAAAAAAGTAACTGGAAGAATGCTGGGCTCTCCAGTGACATTCCTGAGCTTTGCAGACCCTGGTGCTGACATTTTTAAGGGATGATGTTTCCTCCTGGGGCTGGGAATGGCTTGGAGCTGAACTGTCACCCCTGTGTCCTGGGTTTTGGGGGCAGTGAGTGGCTCAGTCTCCTGGAGCCTGGGCTGGCCTCCAGTAGCTGCAGGATGTTGGGATTGGGGATAATTGGAAGGGGGGTGGGGTTGTGGATCACTGGAAAGGGAAGGGGGTTATTGGGATTGTGGACATTCGGAAGGGAAGGGGGATGATCCGTCACTTCCTCCTGCTCAGACACTGTCTGGGGTCTGTGCTCTGTCTGGGCTGGTGATTGTGTGTCCAGGAACACCCGGAGATGGTGTATTCCAGCTGTTGGGAAGCAGGC